TACATTTTAGTTGCATTTCGATGTTTAATTATTTACAAAAATACCACCGCGTTTTTAAAAAAAATCAGTATTACGTGAACAGATGACATGCGTTCTCATTTCTTTCCTTAGCCTGCAGTTGGCACCTAAACGCAACCCTATATATATATATATATATATATATATATATATATATATATATATATATATATATATATATATATTGAAAAAGGTTTGTGTCGTACTGAATTGGGAAGGGTGTGGGGTGTGGGTATTAGATATGCTCAAGAAGAGGAGGACAGTGAGAATGGTACAAGACATGGGTTGGCAATCCTACGTCAGGCAGGAGAATTGAAAAGAAGAGGAATAGTGGGCTTTTAGACCCACCAATTAGTTGGAGAGCACTGTACACGTGTTTGTACAGACATCTTTCTTTAATTATGCCCAGGCCATCCACCTTGTATATCATCTCATGTAATAACATTTTGCATGCAAGATTCCTCAGCTCATGCATGTATGTTAAGTAAATTAGTAAGAGTTCAGAGGTGTAGTTAATGTTAATGTGTTTCTCAGCTACATATATCGAAGCTCAATCATACCATGTCAACAGATCGAATTGAATTGCAGATTCATATATATATATATATATATATATATATATATATATATATATATAAGGGTGATCACATGTGGTAATGTTGTTAGGTGTGGTCATATGGTCAATTACAGACCATTACATTAAATAGATCCAATGAATCACATTAATCAAGATTCTTTCAGTATTTTCGCGCTCAATCTCCTACCCAGCGAACTGCAAGGATAAACTCGTCATAAGACATCGAAATAGGGAAAATCACATTGTTGTGTGTTTTATTTGTGTAATTGGTGCATTATTATCCTTACTCTGATGTATTTGTAGATTCCCATTGGTGCCAAGTTGACGTGCGGCAACGCCTTCCCGTGTGGTCATTGCGGCTGCACAAATTATTATACAAATATACACAATCCATGTTATGAAATGCACAATAAAAAATATACACAAATTAGGTATGCATCACTAAAAACACGCCATTAGATATGAATAAATACACCATACAGTGTTCGTGGATACACTTAGTACTGTCAAAGTGGGTCGAAGCCCGCGGGCTGGCCCGCACCCGCCCCGCAGTGGGGCGGGTTAAGGTCATGAACAAACACGCTCGTAAAAATGCGGGCCGAACGGGACGGGCACAAATTAACCCGCAGTCTATGCGCGAACGGGCCAACCCGCGGGCTAGACCTATTACTTAAAAAATAAAAATATAAAATAAATATACGTTACACAGCAAGACAGAATTGTGTAACATTATATATATAAATATATAATATATTTATTTATATATATAACGTTAAACAGCCCGGCAGAATTCTGTCTTGCTGTGTAACGCATATATATATATATATATATATATATATATATATATATATATATATATATATATATATATATATATAGGGAAGGGTTCAGGTGTGGGTATAGCTTTCTGTGCGGTTGTGCGGTTAAATCTGAGCAGTTGATCAAATTTAGATCAACGACTCAAATCAATGAATAAAAGAAAAAAAAAAAAAAAAAAAAAAAAAAAAAAAAAAAAAAAACGCTTGCCAAAGTCCAGTGTGCAAATACCAGGAAGGCGAGGAGGAGACTCATTCAACTCATCAACTCTATACTTTGAATTTGGATTTCTCCTTTTATCTTGCTTAGGAGTAGCGCAGCTTTGCTGGAGGGTTTTGCCAAAGCCCAGGGCAAGTCGGAGGCTTGGTGCACCTTAAGTGTTACATCTTAATCACAAACTCACGCACTTTAAGTACAAAACCTACACACATTAAGCACAACCTCACGCACATTAAGTACAAAACCCACGCACTTTAAATATTAACTCATAGACTTTAAGTTTCAACAACCAAGTACAAAACTCACGCACATTAAGTACAAAACCCACGCACATTAAGCACAAACATCACGCACATTAAGCACAAAACTCACGCACTTTAAGTATTCACTCACAGACTTTAACTTTTAACAACTATTCACGTTAAGCACATCCCCAGGCACATTAAGCACAAACCTCATGCACATTAAGCACAAAACACACGCACATTAAGCACAAAACTCACGCACATTAATCACAGATCCGCTCACCTTAATTTTGACCTAGATGCAAAAATTTCAAAATTGCCACCGCGTTTTTTTTTAAAACTTTGATAATCCTGGACATTGATTAAAGCGAGATGGATGGCTCAGATTAAACCGCACAACCGCACCTGAAGCCCTCACCCGCACGAGAACCTAAATCTATATATATATATATATATATATATATATATATATATATGAGATTAATATTTTTAAAATATTAAGTTCAAAAATTTTTAAACACTAAAACAAAGTCCGCGGGCCGGCCCGCGGAGCCCGCCAACCCGCGCGGGGCGGGCTAGGGTTGCACGAACCTTAGCCCGCAGGCTTGGTGGGCCGGCCCGCAAAGGTTCGTGAAAAATTAAGCTCGCGGTGGGGCGGGCCTAATGGGGCGGGTCGGCCCACTTTAACAGCCCTAAATTCACTATTGGTGTGTTTCAATGTGGTGTGTTTTATTACACTATTAGTGTATGTTGTCAACACTGTTGATGTATTCTGGAACCCGGTCGCTATAAATGGCCACTGTAATTACCATAACACCTCTACGCGCAAAAATCTTCAAATCCTTAGAATTAGCCACTGCCGTTAGATTAAACTGATTCAACGACACAAATATGAGCACACCGCCACACCTAATAACATGACCACATATGGGCACTTTTATATATATATATATATATATATATATATATATATATATATATATATATTACTTTTTCCAATGACATATGGAGTACAGTTGATGTTAACGGACGGTCTGCAATTAAATTCGATCTTGTTAGTGAATCTAGGTAGCTACAACTTAGATTATATATTTTCGATCAGGACTGGACGGCCATGATTTTACAGTGATGAGTTAGGAGTCGTTGAACGTGATCTGCATGATCTTTGACTGCACCATAATTATTGTATATCACATCCCAGATCCCACCACCTTAAATTTGATTAGTTTATCTTGGTCCCCAATACAACAAATCTTACCTAATTTAATAAACTTAAGGGTGTGCTTGATTCGCACATGGAAATCAGAATCAGAATGGGTATTAAATATTTGGTAATAGTAATGAGTTTTGATAAAAGTATTTAACATGTTTGGTAGTAGGGTGGAATGAGAATGATTAATAATAGTAGCGGTTGAGAATGAAACTCATATTTTATTTGGGTATGAATTTTTCAATTGATGGTGTATTCGAAACTCATAATAAAGTTCTAAAATTCTATCAACCAAACAATAATAATCACTTTCATGTCTGTTCCTATAGACAAAATCCATCACTACCGAAAATTATGAAATTTTCGACGACCTGAAAGTGATCTTAAATCAAGTCGAAAGCCTTGTTCCGACCACTTTTAGTATCCGGAAAAACTTTTGTTGCTATTTCCGACCACTTTTAGTATCCGGAAAAACTTTTGTTGCTATTTCCGACCACTTTTTAATATCAACTTAATTTAAAATCACTTTCTGTTGGTCAAAAATTTCATAATTTTCAGTAGTGCATCAACCAAACACACCCTTAATATCTTCTTCTTCTCTTCTTTATCCATAAATCAATGGCTATAATAAGCCTATAAGCTAGCCTTTAAGCCATCATATTCCAGCTACACCACTCATTAAAGTTGTCATAAAAGAAAAATGATTAAAATCCGGTTGATCCCCAGTTTGGCAAAGAGTCTAGAAGTGGTAATTGAATAGAATTTTTTTTTTTTAAAAATTAATTTAAAAAAAAAATTAAAAATAGAGCGTATCTGTCGTACCACCCGCTCGAATGTAAGGTGATTGGCCTCGGAAGTCTAAAGTTTGTAGCGCGGTTTTGTGTGAAAACAACTTGGATGAAAATGTACTTTGCGTGTGTTAATTGTTTGATCAGCGGGAAAGAAAATGCTAGAAATGTAAATGGCAAAAAACTAAAGAGTATATATATATATATATATATATATATATATATATATATATTTTATAGTGGTTCGATAACTGTCCGATCCACTCTTCTCCTTACGTCCAATGGGGCATTCACTAGCATTCTAAGCACAAATACAAGTGAATAAGCCACACAATGTATCCACAAAGCACTGTTGGTTACTAATGGTATTCCTTCAACTGGATTTCCCCTCCATTCTTCAACATCTGATGTTTGATTGCTCAAACTGTAGACGTACTGTGAACCTAAAAGTTCATTGTGAAGCAAAGGGTACTATCTAAAGTCCTAATACAATCATAACATCATCAAACAATGATTCATAAGAAATTCAACATTTCAAATACTATTAAGAGTTCATTTGGTTCAAACACTATTAAGTAGAGTACATTTGGTTCTAAGAATCAGAGATTAGAACTAATAGGGAAAACTGTGTTTTTGTCCTTGAATTATGACTCAGTAATTGATTTAGTCCTTAAATTATTTGTGTAGTGCATTTTACCTTCGAATTGTTGTCAGGTTACGAATTTACAACTACATCAAAAGGGGGCAATAACAACTTTATTTTTTTTATACTTGAATAATAGTTAGCTTTTCAAGCCAATATTCTGCCAACTGATATGCCATGAAATAACCTTATATTTGTGCTCATTTATGCTTGCTTTTGGCTCAAAAGTTAGGTAAAGGATGGTGCAACAATGCATAATTTTATGTATCTTGATTGAAGGAAGAAAAGATTGAATAATGTTGCAAGCAAGTATGAAATGATGCTAATCTTGGAAGAAAACGAGGCTTAAAAGTTCAAGAAAAGCACCCGAAGGCACACCGGGAAACGAAGGACTAAATGGTAGCGTGAAGGCCATTTGAAGGAACTCACACTAACACTCACACCGTGAGTGCCAGCGTGAGTCCGCGGCTGATTCTCTGATTAGGAGACTCACGCTGAGTGTGCTGATCAGATTCTAATCACTGAACTCACGCTGACACTCACACCGTGAGTGCCAGCGTGAGTCTCAATGATTAGAATCTGATTATTGAGACTCACGGTGTGAGTCCCACCGTGACTCCTCGTCTAGTGGGTTCCGAGTTGGCGCGAACTTCAAACTATAAATAGCTTTTAGTAGTTATTTTGTAGATAATTTTTCAATTTTTGACTTCTCCCTCTAGTTTCCTCTCCATGTACAAATCCATCTTAGAACCCTTCTACATTGTAATCCATCATTTACTAGAAGATTTAGAGGAAGATTGTTCATTGTAACCGCTCATTCCACATCAATTTCCAGATTATTTCTTTCCATTAAATCATCAAGTTAAGTTCTCCATTTTATATTTTTGCATTTATACTTCTTGAAGTTTTGAATTCTATGTTTATTACTTCAATTGCTTCTAGTTTTACATTTCAATTATGAGTAGTTAAACATATCTAGGGATTTGAATTGAACTCCCATTGTATAGATGTCAATGTGAATTGAATTGCATAATTTGGGTTTTGAATTGCCTTCATGTGACCTTGGTTATGAATTGGATGAAATTGAATGGACTCTTTCATAGTTATGGCCAAATTATGCAAGGGATATTTGGAATTGGTAATTCACCTATGAGAATAGGGCTAAATCATAGCCATACCCTTCATATTTCTTACTCACCTTTGAGAAAAGGGAGTTTGAAGGAAATGAACACATAAGGTGTTTGTTGATTTGCCTCATCTAGCCAAGTTGCCATGAGAATGGGACTTGGGATTAGTTGATAGTCCAATTGATCACGAGAGTGACGTTGGCATTTACACCATTTCCCCAAGTTTGACATTTGGAATTGGATAACTTAAACTTTAGACCACACAAGGTATTCTATGCAAAGTTGTTTTGTTCAAATCTTTCTTTCATCTATTATCTTGTAATTCACTTGTTAACTTTCTAGACTATTTGAACATGCAATACTTCAACATCTATTGGTTAGCTTTCAAACACTATATGAACTCATGCTTAACTCCTCATTACTTAATTCTCTTAAAGTCATTCCTTGAGAATAATACTCACTAAACATCACCACTAAAACCAACTTTCACCAACCTCAACTACACAATATATGCTCGAATGCCAATTGTCAAAATCAAATGTTTACCACTACACTAAAAGTTATAGCAAGTAGCGAACGTAAAATTTTATTTCATTATACTTGCTTAGCCGTCAGCACTACGTTTCAATGCAAGATGTTCGACTCGACCCTCAAGCCTCCACCCAATATTATGGCGATGTTTTGTTGGAAAAATCACTATTTATAAATAAGTGAGTCTTTTGTATTCTAATTCGAACCAATTAAAAAAAATGGGAAGTGGGGTAGCATGACCAGGTATAGCCTCTATATGCCTAGCTCCTACGCACACTACCTTTGGGCGCACTGTTCATCTGTCTAGGTGATGTGTGCCCTTAGCATTGGACTGTCTTCATTTGTGGTGGATTGCAACTATTTGCTAATAAGGAGTCAGTTCAATTTAGACTATTTTTATCTTTGCAAATTAAATACATTCAAACCAGAGAAATTGGTTTTGTTTCCCATGAACTTCTTACGCCTATTTTTTAGGCTTGGTTCAGCAAATAATGGAGGCTTCTAACACGTGAAGCACTCTCATTACATCACTCCTAATCCTGTGCCAATATGTGGTTGAGAATAGAGCTTCATGTTGCTTTCTTCACTATAAAAGCAACTCCCAGCATGTTGAATAGGGGCAGAAGTCTTTACAAAGTCTTTTCACTCCCTTTTCATTTTATCTTCCCTTGAGTCTGAGCAATAGTGATGTTCGCCTACGTGATTGCTAGTGCAAGCTATCCGTAGTAGGTCTGTGTAGCCTGTCGAAAGCGTGTCAGGGTTCTAACTGCACCGTTACCAGGCAAATAACGCTTTTAAGGTAGTGTTATTGTAACACGGCACAGATTTTCTTTCAACCATACACCAATAGAGTTCATACTTCTTAAAAAGGCTTCCAGATCGCGCGTTGACGTTGTACTTTTCCCCAATAGTTAAAAGCATTATATGTGCAATAGTCAACCTTTAGCATTATGGCACCTTTTGTCATACTGGATCTATCAAAGATCACCGCGCTTGATGGGAAAAATTACAGTAGGTGGGCTCAAAGAATGCTTATTCTCTTTGAACAATTAAAGTTGGTTTACGTGCTATATTCAGTTGCACCTGAACCTACTCCAACAGTGTTCTCTCCCTCTGGTGCTACAAAAGCTAACCATGAATCTGATTACACTCCAGGGGAAGAATCGAGAGAAAGCAGTCCTGAAATAGATTATATTCCGAGTCAAAAACCGGGTGTAACTCTGATGCAGTTTAGAAATAACAATGCGGCAGCCAGAGGATACCTTCTGTCTCAAATGAATGACAATTTGTTCGACATCTATGTCAAACAAGACTCGGCAAAAGTCATTTGGGAATCACTGTCGGAAAAGTACGGTTCCAATGAAATTGAAAATCAAAGTGTCAGAACTGTCTACAACAAAAGGAGTAGAAAAATCAAGAAGTTCAAAGGAAGGTGTTTTACATGCAAAAAGCAAGGACACCGAGCACACCAGTGCTACCATCACAATGGAAAAACTAGCAAAAGTCAATATGACAGAGCAAGATGAGTATTGAGTCTCTTTAAATAAGTAGTTATTTTTGAGTAACTATATTTGCTCTAGTTCTAAGGGTTCGCATGAAGTATAATTATCTTAGTACTGAATTCTAGTTGAGTTGTCTAGATTTTGATTACTTGGTAGTACTTACTTCTTTAGTATGTTGAATACTAATGACATTGATCGAAATAATATGTGCATAGATATTGCTCAAACTTTTTACTAAAATTATTTCTATAAAGAATAAGAGCATATATCATAGGCTTCAATTGTAATTAATGAGAACATGGAAAAGTCATCACTCTTGAATACTCTGTCTAGGAAGGTGGTTTTTAAGTAAACTTCAGTTTCACCACTCGACCTGGGAGTACTTAAGAAGTAGGGTGTTGATCATGCAGGCTAGTTAGAGCGCCACTTGATCTTCACCTGAAATGAGGATGACTTTCATATGTTGCTAATACAATCAAAGCCTTGCAATAGAAGTTGTTGAAGTACTGCAATAGTAATATTGATCTGCATCCTATGAATGCTTTATATGAGTTTTAAATTCCTTAAGGGAAGGGAAAATTGTGCAAGTGGCAACTCTGAAGTCTCATTTTTGAGAGATATTTCTGAATAAATATGAGCTCGAACATATTCCTTGTGTATGAGATTAATTTCTTATAAGAATATGATGTGAAATTTGTGATTCTGTTGTTCAACTTGATGTAGCATGTGGACAACATTATTTTTATGCTTACTAACAATGAGCATTTGTATATATATATATATATATATATATATATATATATATATATATATATTATTTAAACTCTTGGTTGAGTCATATTGAAATACCTATAATTCCTAGTTAAAGGGTAATTGTGATCAATTGAGATAACCAAGTTTTGTTGAAATATATTCAACTGTTGAGTATGTATCAGGCAAAGTGCAAAGCTTCTATAATGCTCCACAAAGCAAATCGGCAAAACTCAGTCTACAAAGGAGCTAATGTTGGGCACCAAAGATCAGTCTGGGTAAGAGATCAAATACATTTGACAAAAATATTTGTAAGTGTTGCATTGTGGGTGTAATTAACTCCTTATATTTTCATCAAAAGTATCTCTGTGGTATTGAGAATAATGATGAAAGAGAATGCTTCATGTTAAACATGAAAATCTCATGGGATTATTTACGAGTAAACGAAGTACTCGTCAAAGTGCATGTAAGTTTGATCAAGAGAATCAACTTACTTGAGGGCTAATTATGAGGATTAGTCGCTGACTTATTGGAAGGACTTAAAGTCCAAGTGGTAATGAATTCGTGGTGGATCCCACTTCTGTGGTCAAACGAAGCCATGAAAAGAGTTACAAAATAGTACACTAGTTGGTCATTCCGACAGTGTGTGTACTTGTGAGGTTGAGCTACAGCTCTTAATGAATTCATAACTCTTTGAGAAAGGGCGGTTTTGTTGAGACAAATCAAATGAATTCACCGCATAATGACATGAGTACAAAGTGCTCTTGGTGACTTATACTCAAGTGGGGTGGTCTATGTTGAGGTAGACCTAAAGAGATCCCTAACTTGAGTAGAAAAAGGGCTAACCGCCTCTTATGAAAGATAATAGGGCTATCCCAAGAAGCTGAGTGGCTAAGAAACATGGTGATAACCGTGCAGTTGTGGGGGTGTCCAACACTTTCACCACATTGTGATTCACAAACTATCATTTGCATTGCAAAGAACAGTGCCTATGATATAAAGGAAAGGCTTAGAATTGATTTATGTCTTTAACTACTCTATAAGCCTTTAAAGGTGGTCTATACTGAGATAGACTTGGTAGAGTTAAAAGTCTATATTGAGATGGACTTGACAAGACATACAAATATACAATGCGATAAGACTTGTCAGAGTTAAAAGTCTATGTTGAGATAGACTTTAACAGGGTGGATGTCTATATTAAGATAGACATAACAGACTTGAGTACTAAGGGTATTCATAAGAAGTCAAAGAGTTTGACTTTTGTAGAACCTGTTTTTTGAGTTGGTGTGTGCATTCGAGTTCAAAATTTATCTAACCGGTGAGTTCAAGATTCATATCACTCTCGGGAAGAAAATTACTCAGTGTCACTACGTGTCAGTTCAAGTTCACAAACACTGACATTAAGATCAACTCATTTGTATTGCTCAGACGTTGTTTCTTTCTGGCCTTCTAGTTTGAATGTGTGGGGGATTGTTGGAAATTAAATACATTCAAGCCAGAGAAATTGGTTTTGTTTCCCATGAACTTCTTACGCCTATTTTTTAGGCTTGGTTCAGCAAATAATGAAGGCTTCTAACACATGAAGCACTCTCATCACATCACTCCTAATCATGCGCCAATATGTGGTTGAGAATAGAGCTTCATGTTGCTTTCT